CAACACTTTTAATCGAAATGGAAGTAAGCCCAACAAATAAGATCCAGTAGCTCAAACACTGCAAATTGTGCCCCATTTTATCCCACATTGTGAGTGGAATAGGCATTTCTGGCCGTTTTGGTAGGCGTTGAGAAGAGAGCTGAGAGGATAGGAAAGTGCAGACGTGAATTGTGTGGAACTTGATGTCAGTGCCTTCCTTCCTCGAAACAAATCGAACAACAAGAGTCTCCGGATGGGGCAGACTGGTGGCTAGAGCGCGTGAGTAGGGCGAATGGAGTCACTTATCTTCGTAATTGCTGAACTTACTTCCATTCTAGATGAAGGTGTTTGTGTTTGGTTAAGAGATTGACGGGTCGATCCCTCCAGAAGACAACCATCGGCGGACTCCTCTTGACCAGCTGTCGATTGGCTTTGCTGGAACATTCTTGATGATATTGTCTCCGAGTCAGTTTTCTTCGATTTCGATGAAAACGTGCTAAGTTATCTTCCTTTGTATGAGGAACATTGTCAAATCAGGGATAGTAGCATCTTTACGGCCATTTGCAAGCGGACAAGTCAAGAAAACTCACCGGTCCATCCATAAAATGATGTATACAAACTTTGAAGATGAGCTCTTTGATGAGGTATGAGGCGATTTAGTTAGCTCAAGTCACATGCCAACCTCGAAGCATGTGAATGTGTTTCCACATTCATGTGTTCGAGAATGTACGAAAGCGGCGCTGATGTCTTCATGCAATTAGAAGAGAAAAAGTAACGTCTCTGCTCGGCCATCAGGATCGAGTATCACCATCACCCTCTCACTTTATTTCGTTTCACCATCACTCGCGCGTCATAGGATGGTCGTAAGCATAGCACGTTCTTACCTGAATCGAAGGAGATTACCTCGGAAATAACGTCAGCAAGAATGTTCCGGTAGAGCCAATCAACGGTTGGTTAATATCAATCAGCCATCGTATTGTGTCAAGATCCACCTTCAAATGTCTTCACTAAACACTTTCTCTTGAAATCGAAGTAAGATCAACGAATATAAAACCCAACTTTTCTTCGCATAAAATACAATTTTGCCTTCAGAACGACAATCCTATTGTCAAAAATGATTTTGAGAGCCCTGGCCTACCCTGAAGTTCACATCTGCCTTGTGAGCTAATGATATGCGCGTCTGTATGGCCGATTAGTAGGGTTGCGACTTGACGCAAACGATCCGGTCTCATACCTCGCTGGGGAGGCTGATGATGTGATGAAGCGAGATTTAAACTACAATCCAATCCGGATGCTAAATAATTTTGAAAGTAGAGTTTTAGGCTTATATTCACTTCAAATGCAAGAAACCCAATTACGTGTCTTTTGGGGCTCTTGATAGTTTCGAAACCCACCAATTTTAAGTTTAATGCCTATTAACAATATGAAGCTTGCGGATCTAAATCATTTGGTTGGTGAGTTAACTAGACTACAAAGAATTATTTTTCTGAAATAAATTTTCTTTATAGAAGTGGCTTGATCTTGTTTTCATAATTTGTTAGGACTGGTCGCGTGAGTATACTTGCTATGTCAGGTAGTAGCCTCAAGTAGCACGGATCTGGTAGTAGTGATCGAGCGAAATCACAGAAGCAGAGCGATAAGGGCCGGATCCTACAGAGTAAGAGGAAGACTCTGATAAGACCTGGAGGAAGAGGATTGCGGTCTAAAAGAGCAGACTCGGGTCAGCACTCCCAGAATACGCGTTTGCCAAATGGATCACGTCTCTTATAAAAACCAATGTCAGGACATTAGCTCCCATCGCCGCCGCGTCTATCCAGTTTCTATCTCTAATACCAAGTCAATGACTTCCCATGCCATAGTCTCTTGTGTGCCAACCCACAAACGTCGTAATTCAACATTGAACCTAACCAAAGCGAGCAGTACCACATTTGTGGGTTGGCATACAAGAGGCTTGAGCCTCGAATAGTCACCCAGACGCAGGGTAGGGCCAATAACGCCTCGAGTGGCAGGGGTCGAGTGAAACATGTGAACCAGGGAGAGGGCAAACGAATCTTACGGGGCAAGAGAGAGACTGTCGTAAGACCTAGGGTAGGAGGACTGCGCAACAATATGGCAGACTC